AAATTAACACCGTCTCAAATAATATTTATTTCATCTATCAATCCGTATATCTGTGGGTTCTCACTAGGGTTGCCACACATACTATAATATATAGTACGTATAGTACTATATTTCTGTAGCTAACATGCAGTAGTATGTATGCAGCATTTACAGAAAGGAGATTTCCAAGAGGAAAGAATGAAGTGAAGAGAAAACAGAGTATCTCACCAATATTTTATGTATATTTTGGTTTGATTTAAATTTATTTTTTCTTTAATCTTAATAATCACAAACATTAGTCCTGTAACCTTATTTAATTAACGCATTAAATTTGCATGCCTACAATTTTTAAGGCAATTAAACAGATACCAAAATGTTTCGTAGCATGGCCTTTATTATATTAAATGTCTGTTTAAAGCATTTAAATATTTCATTTCGTAAAAATGAGATGCTGATATTATTAATTTTAATAAAACTACAACAAATGTTGAATGCAACGAACCATTTTATAGATTCTTTGTAAACAAAAAATTGTTAAAGAACGCAAAAAGTGTAAAACAATATAGGTTTTATTAAAAAAAAAAAATAGGTTTGTTACCTATTTATACATTCATTTAAATATTTCCAAGAAATACTATATTCTTTTTTAAATGTACTATACTTTTTATAGCTTATTTTGATAAATACTATATAATCAGCTGAAAAAATGTTGGCAACCCTAGTTCTAACTTATAAGGCAATGACAACCAAATTTCTCAATTGACAATTTTGTTAGATATATTGATATATTTATCTACATATGATTCAGCATACCTGATAGTGTAGTAAGCCCCTTATTATAAACTGAATGAAGACAAAACCTACGCAATTTCAATGAACAAATAAAGGGAGACATTCGTCAAATCCCACGCCATCTTCGGGTTATGCCTTCCATAGGTTGTGTACACATTATTTTTTATGGCCAACATGTCCAAACAATATTGTAACAGATTACCAACACTCTAACGTTTTAAAAGGAAATAACGAGTTGGTTAACAAAAATGGTGGTTCTGTAGGTATTTTAAATGAAAAAAAGTTAAAAGTATTGAGTTTAAATTCGATTGTATTTTTTTTGTATGTCATGATGTGACTGGCAAGTGACTCTCAAAAAATAAAAAAAAAAACCTTACATCGACAATAAAAAAAATTAGCAAGAAAATAATATAACCTAGAAGAATTTGCTTTTTAAATAAAGTTACTTAAATTGTGATAATGCTAAAAAAAATATCATAATTGGTTTACAACTGATGAAGACACGTAATATACGTACCAAAAAAACATAGTAAATTTGATATTGTTTTAGAATTAGCTCAACTATAAGTTGTCTACGAAACTAAGTAAACTACTACTGCCTGTTTTTTTCTTAATCATCTCAAAGATTTCTGTATTGTTTTCATAACAATATGAAAAGTCGTGGAGTGTTTAAAGATTTGTAAACATAACGACGTACGCTATCGACCAAGCAATGCAAATATGCGCCCACGCAATCTAAATATTTCTATGAGGCGTGAAGGTCTTTCGTTCACATTGATGCCTTCACATTTATTGTTTGATTTTATTGTTCTTAACTAGTATAATAAAAATATATAGTCCATATTCTATACTAGCTCTATCCCGCGGCTTCATCCGCGTGAATCAGTATACGAGTATCTTATATGCTAAGCCAGGATATAACCTACCCGTGCACCAAATTTCATTCAAATCTGTTCAGTAGGTTTTGTGTGAAAGACTAACAAACATTTATCCACATCTATCCATCGATATCCAATCTATACAAACTTTCGCATTTATTATAATAATAGGATACCGAGTTAAAAATCCATCTGATGGATGACAAAAGTCTTTTTTCATCATTCATTCTAAGTTGTATAAACAACTTAGAATGACAAACTAGCTGACGGCCCACCTGAATGAAAGTGGTAACCGTCGCCTATATACATGAGCAGTACCATGGACATAACAGAGTATACTGTATCGCCCATGATACCTCCCATGCGTTGCCATTCCTGAGGACTCAGGTGTTATTCCTCTGTACCCAGTAAATTCACGCCATATCCCACCCTTCAAACCGAAACAAAGCCATGCAAACACAACTGCTTCAAGATTGAAACACAAATGGGACAGAGGTACCCAAGCAATCGATTTTTGTACAAAGTCTCCCTCCGTCTATTTAGACGATTCTAATTAGTCTGTTACTCTGTGTGTTTAAAATAATATATCCTCTCTGTGATTCAGTAAGAGCAGCCTATAATGGGCTATTAATACTAATTGTTGAGAAGTAACACCGGTTGCATTACAAAGTACCGACAATTACACCAGTGTGGCGGCATTCCGAGAAAATGTCCGCGAGTCACTTTAGAAATGAACCGAACGCGTGTTGGTCACATTATAAATATTAATACATATCTGTATATAATACATAAATATCATAATTATATGAGTTCAGAAGAGAGACTATGATGGGACACTTCATACGACATGACGAACTTTTTTTTTTTTTTTAATATTTTAAGGGCTTTTACCTTTTTCAGGTATATCAGTCCTATTGTACCCTGAACTGCTTTCTCCAACAAAACTTTATCTACCTTCCCTAATGACGAACTTATGAACATCATAATAAAGGGAAGGAGGGGAAAAAAGAGACCAAGATATAATTACATCAGATTAAGGAAGTTGGTGTTGTGTCGTATCAAGAGGTTTTTTTAATGCATGATAATGGTACAGTAACCCCGTCTGCGTTATTGGTATACACTGGCGGGGTACCAGTGATAGATGACTGATGAGGATGAAAGCAGGTCAGTTAGCCCATCCTGACGAATTCAACTAGAATTAGCCACGATGGTTTCCAGGGGGAACCACGTGGAGGTTGACCTGACAGGGTATATTGCTAGTAATGGGGCTATTTGATCCTATTCCCTTCCCCCCCCCCCCCCCCCCGTATCAAGAGGTTAAGACTCGCTGGAAATCGTGGTGACACTCCGCCGAATAGAGCACAGCACTTATATAGGAATAAAGTGAGATGAATATTAAACTGAGATTTTATTTTAAATGAATATAAATCAAGCATATTGCTAGCCTGATAGCGATCGTTGCAGTCTATAAGCGCTTTTTTTTTAATGGGTGATAATGGTATGGTAACCCCGTCTGCGCTATTGGTATACACTGGCGGGGCACCAGTGAGGGATGACAGATGAAGATGAAAGTAGGTCAGTTGGCCCATCCTGACGAATTAAACTAGAATTAGTCACGATAGTTTCCAGGGGGAACCACGTGGAGGTCGACCTGAAAGGGTATATTGCTAGTAATAAGGCTATTTGACCCCATTACTAGCAATCCCTTTCCCCCAGTCTATAAGCGCTTGCAAAGTAAGCCCAAGCAGAGTTATCTATCACTCATGTTCACGTGTCACTATCACCAAGGCGTTAGTTTGTTCCTCTGTTAATTTTGTCTTGTATATATTATAATATTTGTGATTAAAATTGTTATAGTCTTTTTTAGTCCGCAAAATTCTAAATTTTCTTTTCAGACGTCTATTCAATTAAGAGTACAGAGCTGGCGAGCCACGTGTTTCCTGGAAACCAATTTTAAAAAAAGAAACACATTTCTCGTGTCTATGATAAAAGTGCTTTCTATTTTTAAATTTACTATAATTTACCTGTCTTCAAGCATCTCACACCTGGAAATATCGTGCAGACAGTTGGTAGGTGGTCTGGAATTCACGTGTTACCTATATCTATTCAGACCTATCCTGATTTAAAAAGTTTGGCACTGTTTCGAAATTTATAATATGTGTAAATTTAAATGAACAGTATCGGTTACTGATCAGAACATAACTATTATGTCCTTTCAACTACTTTGAACAAAAAAAATCACAGAATACTATTTGTTAGTGACGGAATTGTGTAATTAAATTAGAACTAAGTTTTAAATTTTATTAATCAATAAATTTGCGACCATTAAGTTACCTAAGTCGCTTCTTACGTGTCGTAAAAAGAGAAGGGGTCATCAACCTTAGTTTACAATAATAACAATGTTTTATGCATTTAATAAAAAAATACGGTAACCATTTACTATTATACTTATATAGTTATTTGCTATATTTGTGGTATTAAAAATGATTTTGCAACTTTAAATAAACACATTTGTGTAGGCAAGTATTTAGTCAGATCCCAGATAATACAATACTATTTTGTTCAGACAAGAATAGAACTTACAACCTCTGAGATTTATAAGCTGTGGTAGGACAAGCCACTCTCTTATAATACAACCATAAATCTCCATACAAGTTGCGCCATCTACTTCATATAACAAAAAGTTCATAATTTCAAATAAATGCTCTTGTAATATTACTTAGAAATAGTTGAGTAATGCCTACAACAAGAATATGTTCATAAAGCGACTGTAATAACTAACGAGGGAATGGTTCCTCGTGCCATTCGTATGATTCGTGTAAAAAGTGCCGACTGATATGGACGTTTTATGCTACTACTTAAAAGATGGCGCTGTTCACATTAATAAATAGTTTTACCATAATCACCGACTTATTAATTTACTAACCAGTTACAATATTTTTTTATTTGTATTTATAAATAACAGTATATACAAAAAAATGCTAAATTAGGATATTAGTAAAAAGGTATTTATAGTATTATACGTATTTATATTATTACATATTTATCCGTATTATTTTTTCATTACTAAATTCGATTAAAAAGTTGATAACATTGTTATGCCAAATACAGAAAATAATTTATTTTTCTACTATCTAAATAATATGAAGAGGAACGTTGAAAAATTAAGCAGACAGAGAGATAAGCATGTAATGACTCATATTTATCGCGGGAACAACACCTCTATCCGAGATAAAAGTAAATTTTTTGCGCACAATAACTATAGGTACTTTTGGTGAATTTATCGGATTGTGATTTATCTATGTTTGAGTAACAGGTGGTAGATTTTGGTATGGTTCGTTTAGTAAGATGGTATTTTACTCCCAGCTGAACCCAGTCAGTAATTTAAAGGTACCACCATGTTTTTTAAATGAATGAAAATGTTACAGTTAATCCCATCTTAGGCTATCGTTTTACGCTGACAGAGTACTAGTGAGGGATAATAAATGAAATCATGGGGGTATCATGGATGAAACAGTAGGTATACTCTGTTATGTCCGTGGTACTGTTCATGTCTATAGGCAACGGTTACCACTTTCCATCAGGTGGGTTATCAGCTTGTATACCATTCTAAGTTGTATAAAAAATATATACTTAATAAGCCATTCGATATTTCGAGTATACTAGGTGAAATAATAATCGATTATTTGACAACCCTAATCGGCAGGTGAACTTTAGTGTATCAGGAAACCGCTTTTGTTTGTACTGCATAGATGCAGCTACAAATATGGTCAAGCTTGCACGCATATGGTCAACAGCCATAACGGCGGTGTATGCCATCGATAACAATGTAGAAATAGAGGAATTACACTTACACGTAAGCACTGGTAATAAAGTTATGTACAGAGAGCTAGGGTTGCCACACCCACTGTTGTAAATAACAAACTATTTCATTTAAAGCAAGTAGATACTGAGGGCCTACCATGAAATGTTTTCCGAAATTTCGGAGTCAAACGAAACACAAATTTGATGTTAAAAATACCATAATACATGCCGTTTGGAAATATTAAAAATGTTAAAATATTGTTCCCTTGGACTTTTTTGATAGGATGTATGACGAACGAAATGTTAGACTCCATTTATTGGGCCGATTTTGGTATAAACAAAAACACGAAATTAAGTCCGAAATTTCGGAATTTCATTTCATGGTAGACCCGTTGGTTATGGATGCTTTTTATTGATTGATAAAGGAATCTTGTTCATCTGTCCAAGTGGTGACGGAGTAAAGATAATAATGTATCATAAGTACTTCCTTCATCTCCAAGATCGTCAAGAACGAAGGCGTGGGTTTTAAACTCTCACCAGTCGATTAAAAAAGCGCGGGGCATTTACTTTCACACTTTAAACTAAATTTAATCAAAATTGATGTAGTTGTTTACCTGATGATGATGATTTCATTCGTTGACTGCCCACTACCGAACATAGGCCTCCCCCATGGGGTGTATTGCTAGTACCACGCTTAACAGGTAGATTGATAACCGCAGTCAGGCTTTGGCTTTAGTTTGGCGTTTTGATTTTTGGCAGGATGTGTTAAGAAGGACGCTGCTGTCCATTCCTCAACCTCCAAAGTCGCTTAAGACACCCACGGAAATCAAAGTGGTGGCCTTATCTTTGCTAGGTGTGCACGGGACGTGAGCTCTTTATCTAAATAGTGCAAATTTTACTTTTATAATGAATATTTATATTAATTTATAATGAACACTTCAGATATTTTATGTTAAACTTTAACACGTAATCTGCATAAAAACAGATTAGAGAATATGTAAATACACTATTAAAACATAGTTTGTTTCAATAAAACAAGGAAGGTAACCAAATTTTGTGATAATTATCACACACAGAAATTAGTAACAAATCGACACGATTTATCAATTAATATATTTTTAATTCGTAATACATACTACTGGACATATCAGCACACTATTTTGTTATGGCGTCAATTATTAATTTACATTTTAAATAAAATTCGCCGTGTGGTCCCGTCACAGAATGCCCCTTCATTTCCCGAGGGTGTCGCTAGAAGCAACTATGGGAGCTTAATGCTCAAGGGATAAGCAGCAGCGTCCCTCTTAAAACATCACCAAAGGTTAACTGCAGTTGTCAACTTCCTTATCAAGCGTGGTAAATACTGGCAAAACACCCCTTTATGGGGAAGGCCTATGTTCAGCAGACATAATAATTAACTTTAAATTCTATTGAAATGGACCTCACATATCGGAAATGAAAATGTACTGCGATTGAGAAAGCCAGGTGTACTATGTTTCAAGCACTATATATTCCGTGCCTATGCTATCAGTGATCACAATTATAGCTCTGCCAGCCCCCCAAGCGCGTACCGTAATGATAGTATTTGCGTGGAAAGTGATCTCGCTCTCGAAGGATCTCTGTTGGCTATAAATCGTCGAGTGTCGTTGTTATTATGAAATAATTTCGAAATGTATCTCAATATAATTGTATGTTAGGTTTGTGTTGTTTACGGTGCGTTGTTTGATCGTGTGTGTTGATAAATAGATAGATAGATACTCTTTATCGTTCCCTCCAAAAGATTACAATAGTAAACTTATTCATTTTTAAGGGATTTCTAAAACAGTAAGTTCACAATTCGTCTGATTTTTAAAAAAGAAGGTTTTCAATTCATTTGTATTTTTTTTTATAAGTTTGTTACCTCATAACTCTTTCAGTTCTAAAACGATTTGGAAATTTATTTTTTTTTATCTGAAAGGCTATACTTACAAATTGATTCTATAGGAATGTTATCAAAATCTGTACAGCAGTTTAGTTTTTAGTTTAAAATAACTGGTTTTGTCACAACTAAAGTCGGTTTTCTTTTGTAGGACACAATCTTTAACTATTAAATGATACAAAGATGAATTTAAATTTTTCAGTGATTTAGACTGAGATTTGATTATTGACTTCAGTCAATGATTGTCTGATTGAACTGTCAGGCTTTATTATCTTTATATAAAAAATTGTGTGACACGTTCCTTTAAGGTATTCACCGAAATCGGGCTAATTTTAATGAAATTTTGTAAACGTATACACTTTAGAGAGTGAGGGGCAAAACATTTCTTGATAGAACTTCCTTTAATGAACAACGGGATGGTATAATGTTTATTTAGAAAGCAAAGGATAGTCCGTCCAGATTGACAACCTAATGAGGCGCCTGTCTGCTATTTGCTCTTCTTCGGAGATCCCACCAATTGATCGATCACAGACGTGATCCAAATTACATTGGTTAGTTTCAAACAAGCTGCTTTAGTGAGTTAAATAAACATTTAAGATAATACCTACCTGCCTTTGTTATTTTTATTCCCATCTAGTTTTTATTTACGACTTCGTCCGCGTGATTGCGTCGTGTTAAAAATAGCCTAGCATATGCCAATCCTAAATTCTACTCCATTGGGGCGTTTAAATTCTTTGCTTTGTTTGACCCTTTAATAAGAGAAATAAGGGAGTGTTAGTAGTGTGGTCTTACAGACCCAATGCTGGCATAATAACCCTGTCAGGTCGACCTCCGCGCGATTCGCTCTGGAAACCATTGTGGTTAATATTTGTAAAATTCGACGATGGGCTAACTGACTTGTTTTCATACTCGCTCATCATCCTGCACTGGTGTCCCGTCAGCGTATATAGACAGCGCAGGTGTGGTTACTATTCCATTTTCATTCATTAAAAAAGACTTTTTAAAAATGCGCATATGTACGAGTATATCTTAAGACACTGAAATATCTTCTCATATCCTGGGGTGGATGCCAGAAATTAAAGTGCATAGCCCTCCTAGGCCCCCCTCCCCCCTAAAATATGCCTATCTCTATGTTTCAAACTTTTGTCATTACAACACCTAGCGTTAACAGCTTGTATAAAGCCTTTAATTTAAGAAGTAATAAATTCTAAAGAGGTTTCATTTGTGAGAAGGAAATTAACATTTATCACAACTGTAGTCCGAGAGCTTGACAATTATAAGTCTAGGCTATTCAAACAGAGATTTAACATATTAAGTTATTAAACGAGGAAGCTCACGAGATTCGCAATTTCCTCACAATTATCTGATTCAATTAAAGAAATGATAAATGTTTGTCGTAAAATATACGGTTGGTGTTTTGATTAAAAGGATACTTTGTGACGGAATTCAAGATCAAGGATGTAATTATTTGATTAACAAGCACCGTACGTTTCCGTCTGTCGCGATTAATTCCAAAGGGAATATTTTAAATGCATGTACCCTGATTCTTAAACAAATAACAGGATATCAAGATAAATGTATATAATTAGCTGTTGCACGCGGTTTTGATCGCGTATTTAGTCTGTATGTTTAAATTTTCCAAAATCCTTCCTTAGCTGATGCTTCTGTAATTATACATAGTATGAAACAGTCACTTCTCGCCGTCTGTACGCTTGGATTTTTTAAACAACGCAATAGCTTTAATGGGGGGAAAAGGGATTGTTAGCAATGGAGTTTGACAGCCCCACTGCTAGCAATATGCCTTATTAGGTCGACCTCCACGTGGGTCCCCCTGGAAACCATCGTGAACAATTCTTGTTGAATTCGTCACGATGGGCTAACTGACCTACTTCATCCTCATCTATCATCCTTCACTGGTGCCCCGCCGGTGGATAGCGCGGGTGGGGCTACCATTCCATTATCATCCATTAAAAAAATAGCTTTAATATGGTTTCCATTATTAGACAGAGTGATTTCAGAGCAAGGTTTATACTCGTATGTATAGTTTATTATTGTTCTGTATGAATTTGTTGAAATATGATGATAATTCTGCAAAATGTCAAAATAAAGCCCACTGAGAGTTTTCGTCAACAATGCTGTAGGTATTATTATTTTGAAATACAACAAAAATGCTGCCCATGAAGAAATCTCTTTACTTTTTTTTTTAAGAAACCCACGGTGTAGTCTCTTGGAAAAACCTCTACAGGAAGCTCATTTCATAATCTGAGAGTTTGTGGGAGAAAACATCTCCGAAACTGCGCTGTACGCGACCATCTAGGCTCTAAGGTATGGGGATGAATTCCCTGCTGATGGCAGCTGTACGATGGTAGAAAGCGGTTACGGGCATTATATTGAATAATTCCTTTGAGCACAGTCCGTTGTGCAAAGGATAGAACACGCAAAAGGCAAAATGTCTACTAAGACTTAAAAGTTTGATACTACATTTAAAGATACTAGTACGATTAGATTGTTTACGTAGTTTCTCATCTGGACGAGTGGCGGTTTCCACCGTGCGTTTTTCAAGGCACTTTCTTCCACGCACAACCATTCTTTGGAATCAACTTCCAGCAGCAGTATTTGAACCGATACGAAACATAAAGTATATTCCTTTTTAAAAGGCCCAATCATCTGAAAAAAATCCTCTCCTTACTTAGTCAACAATAGAATGGACTTAAAACCAGAAAGTGTGCTAATTGATCTACGAAAATAATAAAAACTATTTGGTTACTAAATTTGAAATGTTAATCCTGGCCGAATCCATAAAAACTTGATCACGTTCTAAAATTGAAATAATGCGCGCGAGCGTCTACCATAAAAGGAATCTATTAGGAAAGATATTTCGGAAATACATAAGTGGTTTAATTCTTTTATTATTTTGTTGCATAGCCCACTCGATTTCTCTCATTCGATATTAACTACATTTTTATAGGCGGCCCTTTCTAGTACCGTTATGTAGCGTAATAATATTACGTAAGTTGAGGCAATACGGAGCAATTTATTGATGTAGAACATGTCATTTAGCATTATTAATGAAGGTACAAAACTGTTTGGATGATTTTAATGCTTTATAGATATAATTAAAGATTATCTCTCACAAAACAAAAAAAAAAACCTCAATTGTGATAAAAGTAGTTATTTTAATCTGAAAACTAAACCACTAAACCGTTTTTGATAAAATTCCTATAAGACGAGTCTGTAAATTATCCTTGTAGATAAAAAAAAAGAATTGGCCAAATTGGTTTAGAACTGACTGATAAAGTAACAAACATAATAAAAAATACCATATTGAGAATCTCCTTCTCTTGAAGTTCAGATTTATGGCAGTCTATTTCTCTAGTATATGGTTTGTGTTCAGCACTGGACAGCTAACAGCTGATACGACGATGATTATGGTCTAGTCCTAAACTGAGCAGAGCCTGTACTGGAGGCAGTAAATTTTTTTTTTTTTTTTGCAGCTGCAAACGAGCTTGCGACTCACCTGATGGTAAGTGACTACCGCCGTCCATGATCACCCACAACACCAGCGGCATTGTAGGTATATTCCTTTTTAAAAGGCCGGCACCTTTTAAAAAGGAATATACTCTTTTCTTGAAGGTTATGTTGTCATATCGGTTCGGAAATACTGCTGCTGGAAGTTGATTCCAAAGAATGGTTGTGCGTGGAAGAAAGTGCCTTGAAAAACGCACGGTGGAAGACCGCTACTCGTCCAGATGTTTGGGATGAAATGTTAAGAGGATAGATAGTAATAAAATTGGAGCTAGTTAGTCGCTTTTCACAATATCCTGAGAATGAAATTTGAAACGAGATATTTCTATTTCGTTACTATTTTGCTGCATTAAGTAATGGTAGGAGAATTGCGAGTTAAAAAGCCCATCTTATACGAATCTCAATTATCTATTTTTAATTTCATCATAACAGCTGACTGTCCACTGCTGAACATAGGCCTCCCCTTGGGAGGTCTTGCCAGTAGCTGCCACGTTTGGCAGGCGAGTCGACAACGACAATTAGGCTTTTGGTGATATTTTAAGAGGACCGCTGTTGCACCCTGACCATTAAGTAATTATCATTAAGATGTAGCGATAAACAAAATTGATTTTCTATCTATAAATAAAAAGCTCTCTTCGATTGTATGAAGTGAAATGTACGTAAACAAACAAAATGAATCGTTCCGGCTCTGTGTACGCCGTACAAATAAAAGGATATGTGGTTTTAGTGTGAACGGATAAAAGGGGCCAGGGGGATAAGGTTACACTGATGTTCCTGTACTTACTGTTGTTTGGCCAGTGAATACGGTTTCAGTCGCATAGTTTAAAACAATTGTAAGTCTACTAATTATGTAGTACTAACTATCTGATGTTCACGACTTTGTTCGTGTGGTATTTGTTATTCCTGGTGGTCTACTATGAAATGAAATTCCGAATTTTCGGGCTCAATTTCGTGCTTTTGTTCGTACCGAAATCGACATAGTAAATGAAGCTTAACATTTCGTTCATCATAAATCCTATCCTAATAGTCCAAAGGAACGATATTTTGACATTTTTAATAATTTTTAACGGCATGTATTATGTAATTTTAACATCAAATTTCTGTTTCGTTCGTCCCCGAATTTTCGGAAAATATTTCAAGGTATTACCCTCTGTTTAATATGTATCGAAGTATGTATCTATCTATTTACTATGTCTGGAAATAATGGATTAAAATTAACAAATGATGTGTCGTTCTCACTCTTTGCCTTAGGTCAAAAGGACTTTACTTAAGTAGGTTGTGTACTAATTATTCCACGGGAACTCTATAATTTTCCGTGATTAGAAGTATCTAAAATGTTGACCAGAGATCTAAGGTCCATGCAAAATGCCATTTAAATCGGACCAACAGATTCGGAGACGTTTTTTTGTGGAACAAAATCTACTTGTGTTAATCATGCATAGTTTTGTTTTTCATATCTGGACAGACGTCGGTGTAAGGAATCCGAGTTGAAGTTTAATCGAAACTCATCTCACAATGGTGGTCTCACGAATATTAATCGCGGCGGAACTAAACGAAACAACACAGATCTATCGAAATGCACTCTCCGGATTTAAAATATATTAAATTCTATTCAATTAACGGCGGAATTTTAGTTTCTGTAACGAACCAGGATGTTTACAGGTCGGGATGTTTGTACGCTAACGTTCATGCGAGATACATTCTAAATCTGTCGGCGTGAATCCAGCGTTGGGTGTGTATTAGCGACTCGTGATGCTAAAATCGTTTGTAACGTTGTTTACAACATAAAGAGTGCAATGCTCCGTTTTACTGTATTTTACTTTTTACTTTCTACAATGAAATTTATTTCTCTTAATTTAAATTCTCAAAATTTTATTCACTTAAATTGATAATAATTCTGAAAACAGAGTATGTTGTATTTTTTGCCGAGCAAAAATCTATTAAAAGTAAATCTTTATGTAGTTAGTGTTCGTTGGCGACCGCCGCCACTTACCATCAGGTGGGCCGTCAACGCTTTTGCCTATCTTACAATAAAAAAAGTAGATTAAACAAATCTACTTCCAAAAATTACAAATCTTCAAATCGACATGTCATAATATTAAGTTCTCTTATGTAACAAAAGTGAATCGTGCTGTTTTCACAATAGATATTACAATATTTATTTGTCAGTAAGTATGTCGTGTTATCTGACAACTGATTGATCTGATTATCATTGTAGACACATCATTACCGGGCAGCGTGTTATCATTGCTTGAAATCTACGAGATTTCTAAGTAACAAGTGGAATAAATGATGAAATCGTATGAATGTTGCGAGACGTAACTATATCGAGTGAAAGAGATACGGAACAAACGAATCGATGCAACAAACTCATAAAAACAAGGTTAAATTTCTAAATTCGAATAATTTGCATAAAGACGGTAGGGTAAATATAAAATTATAATGTAAAAATTTGACGTTCATAAGCGGCTAAAATGTCCTACATGAATAAATGATTTTTGAATTTGAATTTGAATTTTGAATTTGAATAACAATAAAAAAGAATATACGACTGCACAGCCAAAAAACAAAATAAAAAAAAAAAAACAGAAAATAATAAAGAATAAAAATAAAAGGTAAAAAAAAATCTGTATTAACAAGGCCGATGTTAGGATTCAAACAATAACCGATATATTCAAATTTGTTGAGCCATTTAAAAGTAATACAGTAAGTAAAATCACATACATACATGGACCCTAATAACATCATACTTCTTTTGGGCAGTAGTGTAAAAATGATTCTTTGATTTTTTTATGATAATTTCTTTCATTTTAATTCAAATTTATCTTTATTCGAATGAAGTCGTATACAAACTCTTTTAAAACGTAATCTTTTGTGATTCTATTGCTGGGTTTAAAATATTGTTATGTGGTGAGAAGTATCTGCAAGAAAATGTTATTTTAAGTTTCAATTAACAATATTTGCATATAAATATCATATACTCAGTTCCATAGATCTGTTAATTTAATTAATATAAATCCTATTAATTTAATTATTGTATTATTGTAGTAAGATAAAGATTAAGTAAATTAAATTTATAAAAAGTTCAAAGCTCCATTAACATATTTTAGCTATTGTGTTTGATGCATCTTTTACCTTTTTTAATTTTATAAAAAAAAAATAACTTTAAATAGTTGCCTTATTATGTTTGTTAATTTTTCTTTTCTTTTCTATGCTTTGTATTTATTATATATTTTTATAATTATATGACCTTCTTAAAAATACCGCGTTAACATACCTACTTTCGCCTACAGTTATTGAAATGTTTTGTCTCTATTTTTTTAAATTCCCAATTTGAAAGAAAATGATGAAACAGTGTAACAGTTAAAATAGATTGTAGAAGGTTTTAGTGTTTATTAATAAAGGGGTTAAAGGTTTATTCTTAAAATACACTGTGAAATATTTGTGCATTCTCAGTTATTTTAATTTTTTATTTAATAGATAAAAATGGAGCGAGGCGAGGCGCTGTGACGTAAAGCGCTGTACGCTCCCCGAAGAAGACTTCCGGATGAAGTCGAAACAATTGTCGGAAACGAAAGAAACACAGTGAATTCATTAATTTCCCATTATATATGTATATAGATATCGAAGAACTATGAACATAAGTTATAAAAATAATAAAAAATAAAAAAAATATACTTTCAAATAGACTATTATTCACTTTTTGAGGTGTGATATAAAAATAAAACAAATATTTAAGTTTGTTCGAGATTAAAATTATATCCGCCTAATTGGTTGTCAATAATAACAAGCCATTAATTGACTTTATGACGTGTTGTTACGCACCGGATGTCCTACTGTGTTACGGTTACATTGTTTAGTTAATCGACTTGAAACAATTTAAACTGTTCCATAACTTTATGTAACTAAGTACAAGTAGATGCAAATAAACAACGGTTTTAGCCGTGACAAATTTAAAATCGACTAGGGTACTCTCTATTTACATTCTAAAACAAATAAAACGTAACAATAACCGTGGGATATTTTGTAGACACTTTAGATTTAAAATATTCCAATTCAAAACATGGACTCGTATTAGTAAGTAGATTTAATTTCGAAACATACAGGAATTTGCTGTGTCAAAAACTGCAGTTTCAACTATTACAAAATAAATCCTACTGACTGCAAAAAAGAATTATAAAAGTCTGTTTAGAATCGGCGACATAATCCGATAACATACAACAAAACAGAAGATTTATTAACCTACTTCTGAGAATAGCTTAAAAAATAAACACAAGCAAAATTATATACCTAATCGATATGAATGACTGAATTTATAAAGATGAACTGTCAAAAGAGATACATTTTTAATCTATGGTCAAAAGGAATTAGAATATATATATATATATATATACAATTTAGAATAGCAAACAAGCCAACAGCGCACCTAATGGAAAGTGGTAACCGTCGCCTATAGACATGAGCAGTACCATGGACATAACAGAGTATACTGTTTCGCCCATGATACCCTCTATACATTGCTATTCCTGAGGACTCAGGTGTTATTCCTCTGTACCCTGTAAATTCACTGCCATATCCCCTTCAAATCGAAACACAGCCATGCAAACACAACTGCTTCACGGCAGAAACACTAATGGGACAGAGGTGTCCAAGCAAACGACTTTTGTACAAAGTCACTTTCTGGTGTTTATTTGACTGACGTTCTTCAATTTATTTAAGTAAATTACAATTACACGATTTTGCAAACAGATATGGCGTCTGCGTCAATATTAAACAATAATAAATTTTAAAGTACTAATTGTAAAATCGATTTCAAATAAAAGAAAACTGTTGCAATTGACAACTGTGAAGGGTTTAATTTAAAACATGATTAACGATGACTGCAAAATTATCTAATAATTTATAATTGGATAATTTTGCAATAGCAATGTTTACGAGATTGTTCATTAAACTTTTTGAACGGAAATGAAAATGTAGTTAGTATAGATATCACACAAAGACGGAGTTAATCAAGAGGTTCTTAGTATATATATATATATATATATATATATATATATATATATATATATATATATATATATATATATATATATATATATATATATATTGTTATAAAATAATTGAATTCAATCATTCATTAAATATTCACATTTTAACAATATTGATCTTAAACATTAGAGGTGCAGTATCAACGTGAACCCTGGAAGGGCACAGCAATCATATTAATAATTGTTACATAAAATACACAGCTGGATTTCAATACGTAATATGTTCACGATGGTTAATGAAAGTCACGTATCGATCTAGACTAGACTGTTAAAAAAAAACAAACTCTTCCGGTCTCTGACAAGTATTAAAGCAAATGTTACAATTCTAGTCTGTTCTAGTTTAATTAAAACATTGATAGCACTGTGAATAAACACGTTAAATAATATTAAACGGTTGCAAAATGGCCGACGATTATCTAAGAATTCTCGATAGTCAAGTTGAAGTTTTTGACGGCACACTATCTATTTTAATAGCGCATGCCACTATAGTTTAACGAGAACAGTTTAATTAAAATACAAAATGAGAGGCTGCAGTTGAATAATAGCAATTAATTATCTATCTTAATTTTTTTTTTCTAATATATATATATATATATATATATATATATATATATATATATATATATATATATATATATAATATATGTTAAATATGATATCAAGAAAAAAAAAAATATAAAAATCATTTAGTATATAAATGTCATATCCAGCCAATTACTGTTCAGACTACATCTAATATTTCTGAGGTTTATTGGATAAGAACAAAAAAAAAAGAGTTTAAAACTATTTCTGGATTAAAATATTACAAAATGAAATGGCCATATTACAATATAATGATCAGTCGTAAACGGACGTGTAACTGATATACTTACTTACATGTAATTATGTACGGAGTCAGTGGGGTCACACGAAAGTCGATTTCCTTTTACGAGAAAATCCGAGATTTCATACTAATGAGTACAGATGGGCAAAGCACCGGGTTTAAACCCGGTGCTTTGGTAAAAACCCAATAAACACCCATAAACTCCCATAATCACCCAAAAAAATAGGTTTTTAAGTATTTTTTTGAAAATATGTAAGTAATACCAATAAATTATTTTTATAAATTGTATTGATCAATTCTACAATATTAAATAAAACGTTAACTAATAATATTTCAGGAAATTTTAAAAATCTATATATAATAAAATGAAAGTAATTAATTTTCAGTGTTTTCATGTTCAATACATGTTGGCCTTTTGCTTCCCGTAGATACTTTAAAATTTCTTCATAACACCTCGTTCACGTATATATTTAAATTCTTGGTCCGAAATACTCATTTCTTTTATCCTCTTCTCCATAAATTAAATTTGTAAATTTTCTTTTACTTTATCCTCGTTTTTTTCTTTGTTGCGACGATGGGTAAATCATCTGGACACTGGGTCTCACTATCGCCAAATATATTTGGAATCGGCTTCGGCTACGGCTCTGGCAGACATTTTTTTCTTTCTACAATTTTAAATTAAATTTATTAGAATAAATGCTTCTCTACCTTTTGTGTTATTATACCTTACCTACCTAGGTATAAAAAGAACTTACGTAGATTTTCTTTTATTAACTGTTTTATACGAAGATCTTGATCTCTCAAATTAGCATCCATTTTACTTCCAGTGATTATCAACTAAATTAATAATCCACAAAGTATTAAATAACGTTTTTATATATTTAGCACAAAAACAATACCCTTTAAATAATGTTACATATAGCAAGCAGGACTGCCAGATGTAGCAATAAATTGTTGCATTCTGATGATGTATGTTCGTTTCATAATAAAAATTAAAACATGTTTTTGTGATACGATCATAATCTTTACGATCGTACATTAAAAAATAACACGATTTAAATCGTATATCTGTCAATTAGCAAGACAGCGACAAAATCACGTTGCATAACAATGTAGCCCAAGCTTATATCTTATGAAATATACGGAAGAGATACGGACTTAGAAAAAACAGAAATGTTGTTCTTTGTGGAAGTCATTGATGAAATTCTATGTATTTTAGCCCGCAAACTTTCTTCAAACAAAAACAGCGCCATCTAGTATCGAGTTCTGTAATTATCTCTTTGTTTATGGATTTAATAAGACCGCCACGCATGCAATACATTATGACTATTCGTCGACGCTGAATATGAGGCGACGACAATCACTGTCAAACGTGTTCACTATTACTCTGACTCTGGTAACGTGACTTCCTGGTAACGTGTTATAGGAAAAGCAGTAAAAAAGTGCATAATTTGAAATAATATTTATACTTAACAAGAAATAATTAAAGGTAAGTGGATTTTTGAATGATACAATTATATCATGATCACTTAACAATTTTAACTTAAAATTAGATGTATTATTACAAGCTTTTATTTAGCTTGCGTTATGTAAATAAAAGTATGTAGGTATGTTCGTATGTTGATGCAATTATCCTCAATCCTCAACCGACTGGGATAAAATTTTCCATACACGTTTATTTTGGATGATAGTGCATAGTTAGCTGAGAGTCGTCATTGGATAATAATGGTGGATAGCCTAAGATGTGTACTAGATATTTATTTTTAACATAATATGCGTAAGTACCTAATCGAATTAAAGAAGTTGCTGAGAAAAATACAGAACAATACGATAATAAAAGCGTCTGCGTTTAATCCTCCGAGGAGATGTAATTTTACAAAGGTTTTTTGTATTTATTTTATTATTTTTTTAATAAATTTATTGTAAATAACAAGAAATAATCATTGTAAAAAAATAGGCACTCTATTGTTGAATTTTCGTCAGACCAACTAATCATCGTTCATTTTTTTAGGTTCAATGGGGAGACCTAAAGATTTACGCATATGGGAGCACTACCGTACTTTACCAAACAAGTCTGTTTCTTGCAAGCTTTGTAATAAGGTCTACAAATTCAGTAATGCTGCCAAAATGCTTCAACATCTTATCACTTGTCCAAAATCTCCAGAAACATTAAAAGACTCTATGAAACTTATAAAAGATAGCTCGTCCAAAACCAAAATGTCTGGACTGTCAGAGATAGAGACAAATGATTCTTTTATAAGCCCCTCGTCGTCTGCTAACACTACAATAAATGCTGAGTTTCAAGACACCGATGATCATATAAAAACAGAATTAGCGAGAGCTATATTTGTAACAGGGACGCCATTATCGATGGTGCAACATCCTTTATGGATACAATTTTTCGAAAAATTGCAACCAAAATTTAAAATACCTTCACGTAAAGCTTTAGCGACAAAATACTTAGATAAAATATATAGAGAAATGCGTTTTGAGTTAAATGAGGAACTAAATGCTTGTAGTTACTTACACCTTCAGTGCGATGGCTGGTCTAATTTAAGAAATGAAGGAATAATAAACTTTTAAATATCAAAACCTCAACCTGCATACGTTAAAAGTTTGAATACAGAAAGTAATCCTCACACTAGTGAATACCTTAGCCAAGAAGTTGAAAAAGTAATGAAAGTGTATGGAGCAAATAAGTTTCTTGTACTTATTGGCGATAACGCTAGAAATATAAAAAAGGCATTCGAATTAACAAAACTCAAATATCCACATGTTGTTCCTCTCGGTTGCTGTGCACATATCCTTAACTTGTGGTGCCAAGATATTGTAAAGATACAAGAAGTAACTGTTTATTATGCAAGCCATAAATATAATAAAAATTTCCTTGTTGATAAAATCAAGGCAGGGTGAAGATTCTACACAAACACTAAAATTGCCTTGTGCTACAAGATGGGGAAGTCATGTTACTTCGTTAAAAAGTTTGAAAGCAAATAAGATAGCTTTGCAAATAAACAAGAAGATGTGGTAATTTCAAGAGATATTAAAGATTTAATTCTAAGTGATGATTTCTGGACGAAGACAGGGGAATGTATAAGTATTTTGGAACCAGTCACTGAAAGCATATTTTACTTAGAGAGCGACCAGAATCGTTTGCATCGCACATACATTACATTTAGAGATGTACAAGCTAAGATACGTTTTGCATTAAATGAGATTTCGACATTGAGCGAAGAAAGCAAACAGCAGATTCTAACATCAGTATCTTCAAGATGCAATATGGCAATGAGGCCAATACATTTTGCAGCATATATTCTAGACCCCAACTCTAGGAGTCGAACTTACTCAAGAGGAAGAACTTAAGGGTATGGAGTTTATCTACAATTTAAGCCAACACTTAAGTTTGTCAAATGTAATGGCAGATTTGGCGTGTTATAAAGCTAAAGAAAACTTTTGGGCCAGAGGATTTGTATGGAGCTCATTAGATAGCATTGAGCCCCTAATATGGTGGAAAGGTATTTGTGGTTCCACTGAGTTAAGCAAAGTAGCGATTCGTATTCTATCAGCTCCCTGTACTTCGGCAGCCACTGAGCGTTCCTTTAGTATCCAAGGCTACATACATAATAACAAAAGAAATCGACTTACAACTGAAAGAACTGAACGTGTAACTGAAATTTCATTCATTTGTTATAACTGGAATCTTAAACATAAAGCTGAATGCGAGGACATTCAGTTTAATGAAGAAAATACCTTAGAAGCTTTCATTGAGCAAGTAAATGAACATAACAGTTTAGACGAAATAGAGCCTATCGAACCTATACAATTCATCGCTTGTAATAACTCTGAATCTGACAGTGATTGACTGTAGTTTTACATTTTACTTTCATCTCTTTCTTAATAAACTCAAAATCAAATTAAAAGTTTTTTATTCTGTAGGCTGCATAATAATATTGTCTATGTCCAGTATAGTGGACGTCTTGCGGCTGAGATGACGATGATGAAGTACAAAATCATAAACACCCAAAAATTTGGGTGTTTATGGGGTTTTAAACCCAAAACACCCGGTTTTTACCCACCAGACTTTAAACCCACCCAGGTGGATTGCCCATCTCTACTAATGAGAGTAAATTGACGTCACTACTATTGTATACTTATTTTTTAAGATACCCTCCAACAATCTTATTGAAGCACTGAACAGGTACAGGGATTAGGGACGGGCAGAAGGGAAATCCCTTAATCTCTTTTTATCAGCTTGACAAATGACGTCATCTACAGAGTTATTTAGTAAACCAACAGACTACTTTGGTACAGTAACGAGTATTGCCATTAAACATATTCTAGTGGGAAAGGAAAGGGATTATTAGTAATGTGGACTATTAATCCCCTTGCTATCAATATACTCTATCAGGTCGACCTCCACGTGGTCTCCCCTGGAAACCATCGTGCTGAATTTCACGTGTATTCATCAAGATGGGCTAACTGATCTAACTTTTCATTCTCACCTATCATGCCTTACTGGTGCTCCGCTAGCGTATACCGTTAGCTTTCGGGGTTACCATTCCATTATTATACATTAAAAAAAAAAAGCATATCCCAGTCACACGAACGACGTCGCGGGTAAAAGCTAGATTTATTATAATCGGTTAAGTGTAGGCCGTAACCGTGTGTCAACATAGAAAACTAAAAACTGTATTTAAGAAACTCCTTAGAATTTGAAGCAGTTTAAAATTAGGTTTATGGTTGATTTTAGCATTGTAAACCCATAAGAATTAATGTAGATCTGTAACATGATGTAATAAATGCATTTTTGGACACCATTAATTGCGTAATTAGATATTAGAACGCAGCGAAAAACCGATGTGATGTTATTTATGAGTTTAGAGATAAACACTACACTTTCATTACACGCATGTTTAGTATTAAATAACAATATTACTATCATATTTGTAACTAGGTCTCGGAACTAGTACATGCCTTATCTGTCCGCTTGAAGACTTTCACTCGACAACTACCGAGAACTATGAAAATAGTAATCAAGAAATAATTATCGTAAAATAGGTTACTAAATAAGGCCAACCGTAAATGGTGTAATCAAATATATATTGTAAAATCCGCATGGAGTAATATTATTCATATTTTTAAGAGATTTCAAAATGAAGGAGGAACCGAATTACGAACATTTGGTTGTATTTTTTGTTTGTTACCTCATAACACGGTCAGTTATAAACCGATTTGTATTTTTTTTTTATCTAAAAGGATATATACTTACAAATAGAAATTTTGACAATAGAAATTTTATCAAAATCGATTCAGTAATTAAATTTTTCAATCAAAATAATTTGGTTTCGCCACATTGGAAGTAATTTTTTTTCGTGGAACACAAACTAAAATTTTTTTTTACAGTTTTTGTCCCTCTCTCACTTATTGCTTCTGTCGTAAAGCAATTATACTTGCAATGAATGTCCTCAGGAATGGCAATGCATGGGGCGTATCATGGGCGAAACAGTATACTCTGTTATGTCCATGGTACTGCTCTTGTCTATAGGCGACGGTTACCACTTTCCATTTGGTGGACCGTCAGCTTGTTTGCCATTCTAAGTTGAATAAAAAAAAAGTTCTCGGGAAAGACGATGCATGCGGAATACAGTAGGAGTCACTGTATAACATATATTGTGATATTTATGGTCTATTTATGGCCATGGACAATGATTATCATATTCCATCAGGTGTTCCATTAGCTTCTTCATCATTTCATATTGCATAAAAAATAATCACTTTCACGCAACACTATAGGCAATGAAAATGTCTTGGTACTTGCGAAATAATTATAAAATAGGTTAGTAATAAGGGCCATCGCAAATTGAGTAATCAAATATTATTATATCTGCGTGAGGTAATACGCGGACGTTTGTAATAGTCTATTATTAATGAATTACGCTATTACAATATCAAAATTTATTTACATAAGTACCGTTTGGTATTGATGTTACTATGGGTATTATTATAAACTACTATAATGCAATATGGAGACGTAACGAGATACAATTGTAGTGCATCCACAATGTTTGCAGCGGCAATGGACAGATGACTTCTATGCCATGCCATCAGACGCAAACGAATCGCATCTCTTTTATACCGACTGCGTGGCAGCACTAACGGCATTCTGTGGGCATTGTGTATTAAATACGATAGCCTGATCCTGTCATTGTGGGTCAAAATTATTATAGGGGCCATAAAATGATTTTTGTATTTTTTTTTCTACCAACATAGTTTAAGTCAATTGTTACTAACAAAAATGGATCTTTGTAATCTATAAATAAAGAAATATTATTATTATTTATTATTATTATTAATATAATGAAATATTTACACCTACGTTCATTCTACTATTAACTTTTATTCGCAACTTCGACCGTGTACCCGGGATTTAAAAATAGCCTATATTCCATCCCATACAATACGTGTATACCGTGATTGGTAAAACCGTCAAGGCACTTAGAGGTAATAGACAAACCTGGGGGGAAGGGCTTGTTAGTAATGGGGAGGTTAGTCCCTATTGCTATTAATATATCCTATCGGGTCGACCTCCACGTGGTTCCCACTGAAAACTATCGTGACTGATTTAATGTTTGTATTAGTCACGATAGGCTAACTGACCTGCCTTTTTATCCTCACTAATCATCCCTCACTGGTGCCCCGCCAGTGTATACTGACAGCGCAGGCAGGGTTACCATTTCATTATCATTCAACAAAAAAGACACAGGCAAACCTAGGAGGAAGGGATTGTTACTAATGGGGACCTACTAGCTCCATTGCTAACAGTATACCCTCTTTTATCCCGGCCAGTCGACATAGTCCGACCATGTGAACAAAGTCGCAGGTAAAAGGTAGTATTTTAATAAAATATGGCGACATTATAAAACGTAGTTGAGATGTTGCAACTTGTGATCTTTGGTTGCTTAATACAACATTAAAATGACGTATAGGCAACGGTATCACTTACATACACACACACACACACACACACACACACACACACACATACACATGGTTTAAAGAAATCAGTGACCGCAAATAATGTGGAATAGATATTTTAAGACATCACATAATTAATACACACAGAATTGCTTAAGAACATACATATGCTTTTGAGATGGTGTCAAAAAAGGTTTATTCAATTCGATTAGGTTTCTTGTACATATCTGTGTTACGGAATATTTATGTTACGCGTAATTAATTATTCAAGTCTTGAATGGTTTGAACAAACCAAAAGGTTCTTTAGTTTTTACTAACTTGCAGCTTCGTTCGCGTCGGTCACGGGCACGTACTGATCGGGATAAAAAGGGGTCTTTTTTATACCACTGAAGTGGCAAACAAGCATACGGCCCGTCTGATGGTAAGCGGTTACCGTATCCTATGAACGTCTGCAATATTGATTATATCAGTATAGTTCTACGATTTGTAATACCGAGAATATTTCGATTCATTGTCGACCCTGAAGAAACTTCTTTACAATTTCTTTGAAGTCTACGTCTTTCTCCATTCCATATAGTGCATGTGTACTAAATTTCATAGCGATTGGTTAAGCCGTTAAGGCACTATAAGATAACAAATTAACAAACATATTGGTAAGAATTCTTTGTAAATATAGTACGAATACATATTCATTTTGCTGAAACTATTTCAAAACTTACTGCCCGACGTGCTTGCAAAAAGGGGAATAACTGAGGCAGCAGATAAATCTGCAAAATAACATTTTTGAATGTGCTTTCGTACTCACCGCTCCTCCAGCATCTCGTTGAACGTCTTGGACTTGGCGCGGGGCTGGCTGGGCTCGTTCTCCATACGCCGCACCTCGACGCACCGTTCTATTATGTGCTCGACACGCTTCCGCCGCGATGACTTCCAATTGTCCAGGTTCTGGGGACAACATATGTTTAATTAATTTATCATCATCATTGCCATCATCCTTTTAACCTAATTAATTAATTATCCTAATTAATTGGAGTTGATTTAATATGATTTTATTAATATTTCTCTGGGTAAAAACCAAAGGCTTTTGGTTTTACTAGTGGCTGCCTGTATAACGACAACCGTAACTTTGGGAATGCATTTGTTGGTAGTATCCGCCACCTAAGGTACAGTTAAAGGAAAAGCTCGAGGAAAAAGGAGGGAGACTTTGGGAGTGAGTAAAGGAAGTCGGTATAAAAGGAATGAAAGATTTATGAGGTAAAGGGAAAGAGAGATAAAAATTATTGATTTCATTAATATGTGTGTTAAATATAATTATATAACAACTATAAGGCATAGAATAGGCCACCCCTTCTTTTCCCATAGGTGTCGTAAAAGGCAAGGCAAGGGGAACTTAATGGGAGAGATATGGGCAGCAGCGTCTTTCTTTAAAATCTTAACTGCGGTTGCCAATCCGCCTGCTAAGCGTGGCAATTACTGGCAAAATTTCTTCAATAGTGGGAGACCTATGTTCAACAGTGGGCAGACAACAGCAGATGATAACTATCATTGTAATCAAGTTTAAAAATAACTACGTCTAATCATGAAAAATGACAATACAGATGTAAAAAGTCAACTATTAAAATAATCATGCTAACTATATGAAATACATATTTTTTCGAAAATATACTCGTCGAATTTATACAATTTTTGAACTCGGTTAAAAATGTAACATTGCATTCAGTCCATGACATTTAAATGCACTAAAATGCAATAAACATGAATCAGGCTTTGCGTGCACAGATTGTCATCTGACTGCAAGGAAATGTCGCATCACGGTTATTGCATTTCAGTCGAGTCGAACGTGAAATAATGCGGGTTTTTAGAATTAATTTCCAGATCAAGATAAGTAATGGTGCGCTCAAGGTCTTACATAGTTATTAATAATCATCAGCCTTTAACCTTCCACTGCTGAACATAAACCTCCCCCTTGGGGGTTTTTTTTTTTGTTGGATGAAAATGGATTGATAACCCTGCCTGTGCTAACGGGATACGCTGGCGGACCATCAATGAAGGATGATTAATGAAAATGAAAATAGGCCAGTTAGCCTAATCATGATGAATTCATTATGAAGAATTAATCATGACAGTTTCCAGGGGGAGCCGCGTGGAGGTCGACCTGGTTAGGTATATTGCTAGCAATGGGATTTTTAGTCTCCATTACTAACAATCCCTCCCCCCCAATGGGGGGGGGGTTGCCAGTAGTTGCATTGCTTGGCAGGCGGATCGGCAACCGCAGTCAGGCTTTAGAGATGATAGAAGATGAGGAAGAAAAAGATAGGAAAGGAAGGGGTCCTTTCCCGTTGGTGTTTTTTTTTATGCATGATAATGGAATGGTAACTCCGCCTGAGCTAACGGTAACCTATGAGAGATGATAGGTGAGAATGAAAAGGAAGGTCAGTTAGCCCATCGTGATGAATACTCATGGAATTCAGCAGGACGGTTTCCAGGGGGGACCACGGGGAGGTCGACCTGTTAGAGTATATTGTTGACAGTGAGTGTGGTAATCTGCATTACTAACAATCCCTGCCCCCCCCCCCCTTCCCGTGGGTGTTGTAATATAGGATTAACACCCCCTATGGGAAAAGTTTATTTCCAGCAGTGGACAGTTAACGGCTGAAATAATAATAACAATCCCTATAACTACATTTTCTGTAGATTACCTTCGTATTTTCTCTTGTATAAACACGAGTTTTTTAAAAAATAACACATAATATTTCATATGAAATGTAGTTATTGCCGGAGGTCTAACTTAAAATCTGATGTAGATATTTTTTAAGCAACTTAGAATGGCAATCAAGCTGACAGACCACCTGACGGAAAATGGTAACCGTCGCCTATAGACATGAGCAGTACCATGGACATAACACAGTATACTATTTCACCTATGATACCCCTCATGCGTTACAATTCCTGAGGACTCAGGTGGTGTTCTTCTGTACCCAGTAAATTCACGCCATATCCCACCCCTTCAAACCGAAACACAGCCATGCAAACACAACTGCTTCACGGTAGAAACATGAATGAGACAGAGGTACTCAAGCAAACGACTTTTGTACAAAGTCTCCCTCTGGTAATGTTTCTTCTTGACAAGGTATCTGTGTGTTCTTTAATTGGTTTCTTTAATTGGTTTTCCTACTTCTGAAATCCACACGTACGAAATAGCGGGTAAAAACTAACTGTTCCTAATTGTCATTCGTTATGTTTCGAACATGCTATTCAGTAATTTGTAAGTACATGAAAAACGGAAAGACGTTACTTAATACATGTCGAAATAATCAATGTAGGTGTGCGACGGAAACGGCGCATTCCGCGGTTCGCACAAACGCGACCGTCGCATATCCGCCGGTGTAGGGTGACAGTTGTTGCAACAAAGAGGGGACGTACAATGCTAAAATGTCACTTTTTAAATTATATATGAATGAATAAATGAATGAATGGTTTATTTTCTCTTTACAAAATATAGTATAAAGTGACAATTTGAGGTACAATTTGATATGTAAGACCAATTTTGTGAGAGACTGGTGCATGCGGTAGGTTTTGAAGAACCTGTGTTAGAAGTCAGTTATGTTTGCATGGCTGTGTTTCGGTTTAAAGGATGAGATATGGCGTGAATTTACAGGGTACAGAGGAATAACATCTGAGTCCTCAGGAATGGCAACGCACTACAGAAACACAAGGTCTATAGGCCAACTTTCCATCAGGTGGGCCGTCAGTTTGTTTGCCACAGATAAAAAAAGTAATAATCTCCATACTACACAAACACAAGGCAACCAGTGTTATAATACACAGAAAACAATCATGAGATATAAATTGTAAGAATAATATGAAAAGATAAAATCAATATTACAATCAAGTTATTTTTATCGTTGTAAGTCAACAAACAAAAATAATGCCTTAATTGTTTTTTGTTATTCCAAGAGACTACAGCATTGGATTCTTAAATAAGAGTAAAAACTTTCCTTCTGGGTCGGCAACGCGCGCGTAATGCTTCTGGTATTGTAGGCTACGGTAATCACTTACCATCAGGCGGGCCGTATCCTTGTTTCCCCCTTTTAGTGGTATAAAAAAATCTTTTTTCGTTTATTGTGTATATAAGTAGATTTTATAATTTTGCAATTTGATATTAAAGTTGTTAATGTGCATTTTTATTTTAAATATATAATTATAATAAAATCCTAAAGCCTTAAAACATATTTTGATAAAGCACATATTACACTGTCAAATATATAAAACTAGTTTTTACCCGCAAAATTCGTCTGTGTGACTGGTACCTTTTGATTATGTCTTTCTCCATTCCAAATATTACGTGTATTACCAAATCACAAGTCATTAGACACGAAAAGGTAACAAACACTCATTTTAACATTTATAATTTAGAGTCATAAATGAAAAATGAATTTAATAGCTTATTCATAAACTGTTACAAGTTATTAAACTATAAAACAATAAAAGTACATCAATAGCTTTACGATATACTTGTTAGTGTAATATCAGAGTAATATTTATATATTATTTTAGACATCTGTCGGTCTGTTGTACTTTCAAGTCTTTAAATTAATATTTTATTGATATAGAGATCGAATATGTTCAGTTTCATCTAAATGAAGGGTTCTTAAATTGATACTGCATTTTAGTAACGTTTGTTATAATAGACGTGCTCATTAGTGTAATTCTTAGACGAGATAGAAATGCGTATAATTTTTTTTTTAATTAACAAAATATACATTTTAATGGGGGGGGGGGGAAAGGGATTGTAAGTAATGGAGACTGAGAATCCCATTGCTTGCAATATACCCAACCAGGTCGACCTCCTCGCGGTTCCACCTGGAAACTATCATGGTTAATTCCTGACAAATTCATCATGATGGGCTAACTGGCTTGTTTTAATTCTCATCTCTCACCTTTCACTGGTGCTTCGCCAGCGTATCCCGTCAGCGCAGGCGGGGTTACCATTCCATTTTCACCCATCAAAAAAAAATATATACATTTAAATATAGACAAACGTGGATTACGCAAAGAGTTCTATTATTTTCTTGACAACTGACAACGTACATCAAATACCATAGACGGTTAACAATTTTTTTTAATCTATCAATTTTATGTTACACATCAAGTTCATCTGATGATAGGTGACTACCACCGTCTATAAGTATATATTTTTACCAGAGGGAGACTTTGTACAAAAGTCGATTGCTTGGGTACCTCTGTCCCATTCATGTTTCAACCGTGAAGCAGTTGTGTTTGCATGGCTGTGTTTCGGTTTGAAGGGTGAATTTACTGGGTACAGAAGAATAACACTTGAGTCCTCAGGAATGGCAACGCATGGGGGGTATCATGGGCGAAACAGTATACTCTGTTATGTCCATGGTACTGCTCATGTCTATAGGCGACGGTTACCACTTTCCATCAGGTGGACCGTCAGCTTGTTTGCTATTCTAAGTTGCATAAAAAAAAAGCATCCACGATGCCAGAAGAATAGCAGGCGTGCTGTCGGCCTTTTAAAAAGGAATATGCTCTTTCCTTGAAGGTTACATTGTCGTATCGATTCAGAAATATCGAAATTTAGAAATAGATAAATAAATAGTTGTGCGTGGAAGAAAGTGTTAATAAAACACGTGTTTAAAAACGCAGCTATGAATTATTATAGAATTATGCGAACAGTAACGCCTTACTGTAACGCTGCGGTGGTCGTGAAACGTACAATACCATTTTGGGAGTTCATGACGTCACCAAAAAACAGTTATGCCAACGAATAGTCCCGCCGGAGGGTAAATGTTTTTATTGCATATTTTCTAATATTAATAACAAGTTTGGGTGCAACTTTGCTGTGCCTACGGCGATGTGCGGAGTAGACGGTACGTTCTATCTGCGAATTACTAACCACCTACTTATTTTTTTTTTTTTTT